TAGTGACTGAACTGGTAAGAAATTGGTTCAGGATGGTTCAGTTGTACCTGTTACACCATGAGGAGCCCAGCTTTGCAAAATCAGTCTGCTTCAAGTGGTCTTAAGTCCTTGTTTTGATGAGAAAAATAAGTTTGAAATTGCAAAGAGTTTTAATGACAGAACATGAGAAGTTAAAATTGGATAAGGAAGGACTTTGAGTTAACACATTCCATCCTAAATTTCATTTTTTTAGCAGAGCCAGGTAAAAAAATGCCCACCCTGGCACAAAGTCATTCCACGCTGACCCTGAGAATCCATCACCTGGTTTTTATCCTTGTACATGGATTCAGTCACTCAGGGTGACAACCTGAGATAAAAGCCTGTGTTTTTCCTGGGGAATGAGCACATGACCCACGTGTGTCCTTCTGTGTCCTGCAGGTTGTGGTGGTGCAGGCCATCAGTGCCCTGTGCCAGAAGTACCCTCGGAAGCACAGTGTGATGATGACCTTCCTCTCCAACATGCTCAGGGATGATGTACGTGTGACACTTGCTCTGGGGAGGGATTTTGGCAGATTTGGACCTGCTTGCTGATGGGAAGGGTCTCTTCTGTCAGTGGGTGCACAGGGAGGTGGGGCTGAGAGATTGCAGCTCCTGGTGGGACAGAGCTGTGTGAAAAGCTTGGGTAAGGTGTCTTGGTTTAGGGTAAATTTGGGAGAAAACATTCAAAGGGATTTCACTAGAAAGCAGATTCAAGTGGTCCCACGTTGTACTGGCCACAAAGATCCTGCACCTGCTGGCCAAGGAGGGCCCCAGGGTGGTGCTGGAGAACGAGGCCGTGAGGGCTGGTGAGTGCAGCTCCAGGCCTGCAGTTCTGGCTCCTTGCCTTTTCCTCAGCCTGGAAAGGAAATTGCAGAGAATTGGAGTAAGGTGTCTTGGTTTAGGATAAATCTGGGAAAAACTCCAAAGGGCTTTCTCTAGAAAGCAGATTCAAGTGGTCCCACGTTGTACTGGCCACAAAGATCCTGCACCTGCTGGCCAAGGAGGGCCCCAGGGTGGTGCTGGAGAACGAGGCTGTGAGGGCTGGTGAGTGCAGCTCCAGGCCTGGGATTCTGGCTCCTTGCCTTTTCCTCAGCCTGGAAAGGAAATTCCAGAGAATTGGAGTAAGGTGTCTTGGTTTAGGATAAATCTGGGAAAAACTCCAAAGGGCTTTCTCTAGAAAGCAGATTCAAGTGGTCCCACGTTGTACTGGCCACAAAGATCCTGCACCTGCTGGCCAAGGAGGGCCCCAGGACCCCCTCCCCCTCCAAGTACATCCGCTTCATCTTCAACAGGGTGGTGCTGGAGAATGAGGCTGTGAGGGCTGGTGAGTGCAGCTCCAGGCCTGGGATTCTGGCTCCTTGCCTTTTCCTCAGCCTGGAAAGGAAATTCCAGAGAATTGGAGTAAGGTGTCTTGGTTTAGGATAAATCTGGGAAAAACTCCAAAGGGGTTTCTCTAGAAAGCAGATTCAAGTGGTCCCACGTTGTACTGGCCACCAAGATCCTGAACCTGCTGGGCAAGGAGGGCCCCAGGGTGGTACTGGAGAAATGAGGCTGTGAGAATTCCAGGCCTGGGATTCTGTCTTGTCTTTTCCTCAACCTGGAAATGAAATTCCAGAGAATTTTTAGTAAGGTGTCTTGGTTTAAGGTAAATTTGGGCGAAAACCTTCAAAGGGTTTTCTCTAGAAAGCAGATTCAAGCAGCCCCACACGGTGCTGGCCACCAAGATCCTGCACCTGTTTTTTCCCCCCGAATTTGCACAAATGATTGTTTTCTCCATGGGAAGCACTCAGTGAAGCGTGAAGGAGCTGAGCATGGCTCCAATCCAAGCCTCACTGTCCCTGCTTTCCCTTTGCCAGGGTGGCTTTGAGTACAAGAGAGCCATTGTGGATTGCATCATCAGCATCATCGAGGAGAACCCCGAGAGCAAGGAGGCAGGGCTGGCTCACCTGTGCGAGTTCATCGAGGACTGCGAGCACACCGTGCTGGCCACCAAGATCCTGCACCTGCTGGGCAAGGAGGGCCCCAGGACCCCCTCCCCCTCCAAGTACATCCGCTTCATCTTCAATAGGGTGGTGCTGGAGAACGAGGCT